TGGGGTGGGAAAATATATTCAAAATATTATATAAGTTAACATTCTGTACTGTTTGCTGTTTTGTAAAATAATTCAAATTAATAAAAACAAAGTTTAAAAATCTTGTTTTGTGCTCTCAAAAAGAAACTCATAAAGGTTTGGAACAATTTGAGGGTGGGTAAATAGTGTAAAAATGTAAATAAAATATAAAAATTTACTTTAAATTTACCCAATATCAGAACTGGGAATGAATCAAGTTTATCCATATTTATCCACAGCAAACTGCAAACAGGAAAGAAAGACTATAACAATGTTTTTGCTGTCTTAATGCTTATGGAGGGCAAAACGTGTGTGTGTGTGTGTGTGTGTGTGTGTGTGTGTGTGTGTGTGTGTGTGTGTGTGTGTGTGAGAGAGAGAGAGAGAGAGAGAGAGAGAGAGTTAAATTAAATGAAAAGAGTTAAATTTAAGGAAATGGTTTATACTGACAGACATGAAAGGACAGATTTAGTGACCAGATAAGCAGAGCGTAAAAGGATGAGTGCAGTCATTTTGCAAATTCAATTGATGCAGACTTTTATGATGAGGTGAAATCCATATGAAAGAGCAACCTTATTTTCTTTATGGCTTGGGACAATGTGGAAGGGCATGGCAGGCTTTTATCCCTGACACATACAATTTAACACGAGCAGGCTTGAAATAGTGATCACAGGAACATGGGAAGGATTAATCACTTTGAGTGTTTGCAATGATCTCATAAGGGATAGGTCGTGAATGCACCCTGAATATAATATGCAAATCCAAAGCTGTGGATGGATCCCTATTCTTTTGTGTCTGGGTAGAACACCATTCTATCCATCCAGGCAATTTACAGGAAAGATATAATAACAGCTTAAAGTGGTTTACAGGTCACTTGTATTTTTGTCTAAATTTCATCCTCTTAAGCTCAACGATCCCTCTAGTGGTATTTATTGGTATTAGAGCAATTCCATGCAAATGTCAACCTTGCCATGTAAGTTTTCACCAAAATAGTGAAACCGTTTCTAGGTTTTCTTGATTTTACAGTACTTTAACATACTCAGAAACGTGTCTGTCAACGTTTTCAAATAATTATATTTGACTTACCAAAGTCACACAAGTGCCAATTTCACATCCGTCACATCCGCCCATCCGTCCATAATGGAGAGATGTCACATCCACAACCAAGTTTTTTCCTTATTAATGCAAAAATGTTAAATAAAATAAAATCAGTCATGTTTGTTCTATAAAGAGCCGACTCTTATCCTTTTGATTAGCATTATTTATTTTGGGTTGTGCAGTTTAATTCACAGAATTTCTACAAAGTATGCTGTATACTGTAATATCGCAGATGTTTTTCATAACATCTATAACAAATGTTTTTTTTTTTCCTTGTTAAAATTATAAAACATGTTTACAGATTGATATTTTTCAGATTCTACAACTCTGTGATTAGTTGTTTTGGAAAATATAAAAATATGTTTCAGTATAACGTTAATGTATTTCTATGCGAATTTATATTTTGAGTTTTTGGCAGCAAATGTCACATCCGTAACGATGGAAAACGCTCACTACTTTTAAAAAAAGTTACATAAAGAAAAACATCAAAATACAGAGAATAAATTTTTTAAATGCATAGATTATAGGAAATGTGTATTTTTATTTTATTTATTTCAATCATTTTTAAGTTGATTTAATTTATTTTATTTGGGCTATGCAATTGCAAACCACTTGTATCCCACATTTTTTATTTTCTACAAACTCTCAAGAGGATAATCTGTTTACTTGTGCATTGTGCATCAATAGGATAATCTATGTTTACTTGTACATATTTATGTTTTGAGTTTTTATTGCAAATTTCACATTCATAAGGCTGAAATTGCACATTACTTAAAAAAAGTTACATGAAGATTAACATCGAAACAAAAAATACAGAGAATGAAAGTTTTTTTTTAATGCATAGATTATAGTAAATGTATCATTTTATTTTATTTATTTAATAATGTTTTTAATAAAATAAAATAAAATTAAATAAAATTAAATTAAATTACATTTTATTTAATTTTATTTAATTTTATTTAATTTTATTTTATTTGGGCTATACAAATCACCTGTATCCCACTATTTACACTTTATCCCACTATGTTACTTTCTACAAACAGTATTACAAACTTTCAATAAGATAATATGTTTACTTGCATTGTACAGATCAGTTATGTGCTGCTTACCTCAAAATCTCTCTTCTGCACAATTTAACATAATAACTTTTTTGCACAATTGCATGTCCAGTATTTGTAAAGTTTTTTATATCATCTTATTTTGTGTATGTGTAGTCCACACTTTATAATGGTGTAATCAGATGGTTTTATTAACTGTTGTATAATTCTATAGTTGTTTTTCTCATACTGTATTGTTGTTGGTTTAAATTTAAGTTTACCTAGTATGTTGTATCCTGGTTCTACAAGATACAACGTTTCTATACAACATTTCGATACAACTATAAGTCCATGTAGCAGAATGATAATAAAGCTCAACTTGACTTGATTTATAACTTACATAAAAGCTTTCAAAAAAATTGTTATGTTTGCATGTGGATGGATGTGCTGAAAATGCCTGAAAAGTGATTTATCTATTTATCACAACATAAATATACGGTTTTCTCAAACACACATTGAATGTATTGCTCTGTTGGAATTAATAAATGTATTAACATTTGCAGATTTAAAAGACATTTTATCCTAAGCAAATTACAATGTATGAATTAGGCAAATCAACAATGAAACATTACACAACAATTGCAGATAACACTAAAGATACACGTTAACGCAGACGCATTACGCAACAAAGACCATGTGTAGTACACAAATCTTCCTTAACAACATTCAATAAAATAGCACCTTTATAGTATCTATTTTATGTGTGCATTAATTCTGGGAAATTTTGTAAGAAGAAAAAGGGTAAAGAACACAAAAAGATTCAGTAATGGCTTTACTTCATCTTATGAATAAATATGACCATGTTCAGATAAGTCACAATGACCTAATAGAGGGTTTTCAAAAGAACTATCTATACAAAAAATAGAGGCATAATGGCAGAAAATGTAGTTGAATAATTTGTGACATTTTCTTTTCATATATATGATTAATGTGTCTATCTCATAAACCCCTTTCTGGCATAGACTGTATTTGTTCATGTACCTTTGTGCCCTATTCCATTGTATTATTTCAAATCTAATTTTAGTCTAGACATACAGTTAAATAACACTTATAAAGAAATTAAAAATAACATCCAAAAAGTAGCTGTGTGATAATAGTAGAAAAGGTATAGACTCACCCTGGTTTAGCAACAAGTAACATGACAATGTGTTTTCTGTGCATTCTGTCACCTGTAAGCAGTAAAATAAGATTACAGTTAAATTTACTAACAACGACATTTTGCTCATTTTTATTAATTCACAATTTTAAATAATTTATGGAGAAACAATAGACTTTTAAAAAGAGGAACAAATTACTTTACTGCCTGCTCTACCAAATAGTTGACCATGTTTTGACTGTTTTAAATAATGGTTTACACTATGGCATTGTTGGTTTACAAGAAAAATCAAACAAACATAATCCTACTACACTTGATTTTGGTTTTATTGTAAAAAACAAGACATGTTAAATGAGAATCTGAAATATTTTATGGCATACTTAAAAAAGATGATTTAGTATACAAAAAGTAGTTTGATTATTTTTTAAATAAATTGGTCTTACACTTTATATTTTATTTTATTACTTTAAAATTTTATAGTATATGTATTATTTCTGGTACTTTTACCAAAATTAATAAATTTTGTTTTTAAATAAATTGGTCTTACACTTTATATTTTATTTTATTACTTTAAAATTTTATAGTATATGTATTATTTCTGGTACTTTTACCAAAATTAATAAATTTTGTTTTTAAATAAATTGGTCTTACACTTTATATTTTCAAAAATTGTATAGTATATCTATTAATTCTGGTACTTTTACCATAAACAGACATATCTACTGTTTTAGAAATTATGGAATGTGTTAAAAAAATTACATTGAGTGTGATAACTAGTTACATTAGGAGTTAGGAAATGCAATCCAAAAAAAAAAAAATTCTTAGTGGGGTAGTTAAAGTGTTAGGCAGATGTTTTTTCTCCTAATTATTCCTATTATTTAATTAATTTACTACAGAAAAAAAGGGAAAAAGAACTACAATATCGTCTTTAAAAAATTTTGTTTAAAATAGTTTATGCAAAAATGTGAATTTTATATTATTATGTGAATTTTTATATTTTATTTTATATGCCTTAAAATGTTATATTTCGGAATCAAAATAAGAAAGACCTTTATAATGAAGTGGCTTCTTAACTAAGAAAAGGAATTTGTCTTGGTGACGAGCTTCTAATGGAAAAAGGATAAAGACAGTGCAAATATTATTGTATAATAACACTATTAAAATAAATAATTATATGGAATAAATACTAAATAACATTAATAAATAATAACACATGGGTAATAAAAATGTAGAATAGTTAATTTTCCAGTCCAGTGTAAACTACTCACAATAATCTTGCATAATTTATATAGTGATATTTCAACTATCTAACGTTATACTTAAGAGTAATGAAATTCACACGTCTGCTTAAGTTGAACTGATTTGTTATTTTTACTCCTTCAATATATGTCCTCGATGAATATTCATGTCCTTTATTACTTGAACAAACTTACTTGGTATAACGTTAAGTTAGCCTCCAAGACACTAGCTTTCAAAGACTGATTGATTCCTAGCCTTTATGTTACCAGATTTGATGTTAAAATTAAACAAACTGGCTTTTTGATTGAATTTTTTTAACGTTACGTTAGCTTCTTGCCAAAAGGAAAGTGTCGAACCCAGTGCTATTCTAAGTTCTTATTGGCGCAATGGAATGCCAGTCATTTTAGAATGCTCTGATTGGTCTAAACGAAGCACTACCTACCTAAATAATCCAATAACTTCCGCTGACGATTTTTGAATGTAGAGCGGTTAATGTTGGTTTGTGACTCCTTAGGGCAAAGTAACGCTAGCAGAAAATAGTTGTTTATTGGAGCTACAGACACGTTAAAAATTTCAATTAACAAAATAATACCTGAGATGGACCCCGCTTTGTCGAAACTTCTTATTGGACTTGCTGTCAACATAAGTCGTAGTGATGGTAAGATGCTTGTTTGCTAATTGCTAATCTTTTACAGGCACGAAATGTATCAATCCAGCTGATGTAAAAGTCAAACCAAGTAAAATTAGATTAAGTTGAGCTTGCTGCGATGCAGTAACGTTACAACATGCATTGATGACTTGTGAGAGCTGATGTTTTTAACGTTAAAGTTTAAAAATAAAGCTGGGAGATCAACACTCAAAGAAAAACATTTAACGTTAACGTTAATAATAGCCATCTAACTTAAATCTTAAAGCGTGTAACGGACATACTGCAGGCACAAAAACAACCTGTCATTTCTCCCTGTGCGTTCTTTCCTTGTGGGATTGCTAATTAATGACTGAAACATACAGAACCTATTTGTCAGTGATTGTTTTAAATGAATAATTAGCCAAAAGGGAGAAGTTGTGATTACACGCGCACACACATAATTGATGTTTTTTTTCCAAACCCATATCAATTAGTTTGTTATCTGAGAGAATCTTGAGCGAAATTACATGTATTTTTCATTGTTTATTGTATGGGAAAAAACAATGCATTGTTGCATCACTGAACAAAGTCTGTTATGTATGATCTCAAGGTTCAACAGAAAATGCATTATGTTTATGGCACTGTTTCTCATTATGCAGGAAGAATACACAGCGCTATTGTGAAAACTGCCAACGTCTCTAAATCCACTGTGAATGTAGAATGGGCTGAGCATGGTATGACTAAAGGAAAAGAGGTTTGTACTAAATGTTAAAACCCCTAATCAATGCACACTATATCTCTAGATCACTGTTTATACATTTTCATAATACACTTGGTTAGGGCCGGGCAATATGGCAAAAATGCAATCTCAATAATTATTTTCCATATTGAACAATAATGATAATATGAAAGTTGTTAATGATTCCAGATTTAAAAGAGTACCCAAACAACTGAAGCCACAAAAATTAGAGGGTCCATTAAATAGCACTACATATTTTCGGCCGAAAATTCGGTACATCAACACATTTCTGCTGTGTAATTGACTTTTGGATCAATATAGAGTGAAGCTGTCCAAAGCTTATCATTGTTATTGACATACATTTTGTAATTTAATATATTATTGTTTATCAGCCCAGTCCTACATGTGCTTCTGTACAGAGCAGTTAATACATTGATGGCAATTGATATGGAAAACAAGATTTAAAAAAAAAATAATGTTTTCTTCTAGGTTGACATGAATGAACTCAATCATCTCAATTCTGACCTTATACAACACCTTCAACCATGTCATCAGGAGGAACCTGCACCCACCCCTATTCCGACACCAATGACACGAATGACAAAAGTGAGTTTTGTATATCTTTTCTACAATTCTTGTGTAAACCTTCTTTTAGAAAGTTGGTTTAAAATGAAGATTTGCTTTTTTATTTTTGATTCAAGTGTTGTCTATCTGCACAGTAATTTCACAAGGGATTCAATTGGGTCCTTTTGTTCAGACAGTGCTGTCATGGTATATGCATGTCGGTTGCCATAGTAATGCCATAGGTGTTTGGTGCAATGTCTAGACTATTTTTTCTACAACTGTGAGAATCTGTCAATGTTGAGAGGAAGACCAGTGAAGAGCTTTAATTTTATTAAGAAAAACATAAGTGCGCACACATAAGGGTTTCTGTAATACCATGATCATTTAGTGTAATTGTTTTATATACCAAATTTTGTCAAGCATATTTACAATTTGGTGACATAAAATACTATTAAAAAGAGGGCTGCACGATACTGGAAAACTCTGACATTACGATATTTTAAATTCCTGTGATGTGAATACCATTTCACCAGGTGACTGAACTATCAATGATGCATAGTTTTTATTTTTTTATAATGTGATCTTTATTTAAGTGACAAACATTATCTTGTGGCTGAATGTTTTAACTCTAAAATATCTAAATGTTCACAGCATGACTTGCATTAACGTGATAGTTCACCCAAAAAGAAAAATTTACTCAATTTTTACTCGCCCTTCAGTCGATTTAAATGTTTACGTTATTAAAATATCTTTTTTTTGTGTTCAGCATCAAAAATAAATCATAAACATTTGAAACAAGTGAAAGGTGGACTGAAAATAATGAGTACCATTTACATTTTGGGTGAACTATCACTTTAAAAACGCAGGCCAGATGATAAACTTTTACTCCATTATGATTAAACCCTGCATGGATTATAATAATTTTTTTTTAATAAGAACTGGTCCAAATACATGTTATATAATTATAATTTTTTAACTGAGCGATGGAAAATGTTTCACCCATATTTTACATTTCATTCTTAGTTGTATTAACTATACTTGTGTGTGTGTGTGTGTGTGTGTGTGTGTATGTGTATGTGTGTGTGTATATATATATATATATATATATATATATATATATATATATATATATATATATATATATATATGTGTGTGTGTGTGTGTGTGTGTGTGTGTGTGTGTGTGTGTGTGTGTGTGTGTGTGTGTGTGTGTGTATACATATATATACATATATATACATACATATACATATACAAATTTGATATAAAGTCTCTTATACTTGTAGCCAAGGCTACATCTTTTAAATAAGGCATGAGCCCCAATAGAACATTTTAATAAATTCTTATTTGTCCATTAAATTGACGTACCAATTTCAGCAATCAAGTTTGTGTTTTCTATTAACCGTTTACAATCTAAGCTTTTATCAGATTCACAAAAATTTTAGCGGTTTTGCTGCAATCCAGGTCTGGTAAAGAAACCATTTGATTCATTCAGACTCTTCACTCACACCAGAATAATAATTATATCATTATATTTATTACTCTCAGGGTTTATACGGTCATAAAAAACCTGAAAACATTGTGGAATTTCAACATGTTATTCTCCAGATCTGGAAAAATTTTGGCAAAACAAATAAACTCATACATTTTTAGAAAAAGTCATGGATTTTTTTTTTTTTTTTAACAAATTTCTATACTTTTCAATATAAATTGAATGTATCGAATATGAATGTAATTCTATCGTTTGATTCAAGTAGGTTTCTAACATTATCTTGTGTTCAAATTATGCTTGGTTTTGTTGTTGCAGCCTATTTATTTCTCTGTGCTTTTCCAATCACATGCTCTCACATAATTTTGTGGTTTGTAAGCATTATCTAAATAAATTTTATTTGGTATTATAAATTACTTAGATTATCATGTAATATAAATTCATTTCTTATTAAGCATTGCTTAATTACACAAAACATTGTCATGAATATTTTCCTGAAAGTCCTGGAAAAGTCATGGACTTTTTGTAGTAAAACTGCATCCAAACTATGTACTGTCTTTAAATGTCTCTCAAATGTTTTTAATCATTTGTAAGAGGTAAAGCAGTAATTTGTTGTACATGTGAAGGATTCGGTATCATAGGTAAATGTGATTTTATACACAAAACAGTATTTAAAAACTATCAAAATATGATCATGTTTTCTTTGAGTACTAATCACTAAAGTCTACTTTAGAAACACCCCTTACTATAGCAAACAGTTTATTTTATATATATATATATATATATATATATATATATATATATATATATATATATATATATATTACCAAAAACATGATGTAGTCATTTACATTTACACGTTTATTTGTTTGTTTCAGAGTGTCAAAGCATCAGAACTTCCTTTAAGGTCATCAAGAATACCTACTACATCAGAACGTAAGTTTTTATTGTCAGTGAGTTTACTCCGATTTCTAGTTGGTCAGCTGACATGCACCGACGTAATCTTTTATGGTGTGTCTCCTATTTGAAGCTGCTCCTCGGGATTGTCCATCTGAAGAGCCAGGTTTGCATGACGTGCATGCTCTTAATGTCCTCCAATCACACTTATTCACTGTTAAATTATGACTATTATCATTAGACTTAACTAAGAATGTCTCTTCTCACTTCTGTCCACATAATCTATTCGATAAATTATCCACTTATCCAAAATATTCTTTCAATTCCTTCCTCTGTCAGATCAGTAAGGGTGTCATGGCAGAGATATTAATTACCTCCTGCAGCAATCAAAGCACAGTTGGTGATTCCTTTCACTGTTGGGTTTTATAAATCAGTAAATGTTGCTATTGTCATTTTTAGATATTTTCTTCACTGCCTGAACATTGTTGAACATAATAAAGTTGAGGATAAGGCTGTGCAATATGACTATATTTATTGTGTGGGCAAGCTAGAAAGTCTGTCGTTTCATATTATGCTCTTTAGCAAATTTTATTAGCAAAGTCACCAGCAAAAATGTTAGAATTTTCATATATATATTAAAAATATTAATATTAAAGCTAAAACCGTATTTAATTTATGTATTTGTTTGTCTTTTTAACTTTAGATTTATTAATGAAATGTTTTTGCCATAAAAATAATCTTTGTTGCAGACTTAGCAATAAATGAAAAGGTCATTATCATGTTATGCTATTGGTTTAAATGGTGTCTCAAAATGCTATGTTTACGGTAATGCTTTTTCATAATTATGAGCATGTACAATATAACACACTGTTATGGAGATGCAAACAGAAGCATGAGTAACAGCTCTCTGAGAAAGTTGTAAACTTAAAATTTTAGATTGGATCTATAATAATTTGTTGTTGAATTTATTTCTTTATTTTATTTTTAATCAAGCATTTGCCCTTAAGTTCTAAATGAAGTGAGAAATATGATCACTTATGAATGAGTAGATTGTCAAATGTGTATATACTTTTTAAATGTAGTCAATGTGTACATGCACTAACCGGCCACTGTATTAGGTACATCTGTTTTGTTAACACAAGTGCCTTGTTGATGCCTGAGGTCAGAGGAGAACGGCCAGACTGGTTTGAGCTGATAGAAGGGCAACAGTAACTCATAACCAGTCGTTACAATCGAGGAATACAGAAGAGCATCTTTGAATGCACAAGTTGAAGCTTGAGGTGGACGGGCTACAGCAGCAGAAGACCACATCGGGTGCCACTTGGATCAGCTAAGAACAGGAAACTGAGGCTACAATTCCCACAGGCTCAATAAAACTGGACAATAGTAGATTGGAAAAAACTTTGCCTGCTCGGAGTCTCGATTTCTGCTGTGACATTCAGATGGTAGGGTCAGAATTTGCAGTCAACTATATGAAAGCATGGATCCATACTACCTTATATCAAAGGTTCAGGCTGGTGATGGGTTGTGTAATGGTGTGACACACTTTGGGCCCTTTCTTGGCGCACTTTGGGCCCATTCATATCACTTAAGCATCGTGTCAACACCATAGCCTAAGCTTACCTGAGTATTGTTGCTGACCATGTCCTGGATTACATGCCATGTCATACTTGAACGTGAACATGAGTCCACTGTACCCAAACGGCCTCCACAGCCACTAGATATCAATCCAATAGATCTCAGGAATATTTGCAAGATCTTGTTTAATCTATGCCATGAAGGATTAAGGCTGTTCTAAAAGCAAAAGTGGGTCCAACCCAGTACTTGTAAGGTGTGCCTAATAAAGTGGCCAGTGAGTGTATATTAATTTGAATTTTATCAAAAAATGTATGATATTGTGAGATGATTTCTTTTGTGACAAGATTTTTGTCATATCGCTTAGCCTTAGTTGAGGAGATTGTATGCATTTAACTATGTTGCAGATAGAAATGGAATCATGGCAAACAGTTTAGAAGATCATCGCATTTATCAGATGATTGCCTCTAGGCTTAGTTGCGGTTTTTTCTTTTTATTAAACACAAACATTTGCACTTTCAGCTTCAAGAAGAATGACCACGCGTCAGACGTGTTTGTTCAGACAACCTGCCCCTCCACCTGTGGTCTCGGCATCTTCTGCAGATGATGTTCTCTCACAGAATCTTCCCTCATCTACGATCCCTAAACATTCAGGTTTGTTTTTAAATCAGTATGATATTAAAGGACCCCAACTTTGCTCTTTATTGCCCTCCAAAATAAAAATAAAAAACACGTCAGTGATACCAGTCTTTCTTAGTGCACAATTAAACTGTAGGTTTGTTATAGATTTGCATAATTCGAGCCTGTGGTTTTCCTTGGTTATGTGGAAACAGCATCTGTTTTGACCTACAACTAAACACTAGATGTAGCCGAGTCCTGGGGCCCATTCCTTTTATGTGGATTACTTAGTTAGCTAGGCTTAACATTGACAATTTGACATGATCGATGACTGTTAGGGTTGTTCAGATGCCATCCTGGAGTTGCTGTCATGGCAACAGATACATGAGCTTAAACCTGCACTGGAGAAGGCTTATTTCACATAAGCAGAATTAGATTGTATCAATTTTCAGTGAAGGTGATACTTAAAGTATGATCCAGTAAATGCTATTTTCTTACAAGAGTACCATGTTGGATGAGGAAAAAATAGTTTATTTAAAAAAAAAAAAAAAAAAAAAAATATATATATATATATATATATATATATATAAATATAAATATAAATATAAATATATATATATATATATATATATATATATATATAAATATAAATATAAAACCTGTATTGGAAACTAAATAATCTACTAAACATTGCCAACTCACTGAGAGATTTATTCAGGAAACAATAATGATCTCATAATTGTAGTGGAGTCATACACTTTGGTTTGTCTGAGATGTGCATTCATTTGAACAGTGACAGCTATTATGTGGGTGGCTTCATGCAGTAGATTCGGACCACTGCACTTCTGAAATCCCAAAATCATTTAATGATGCTAAATTAATTAAAGTAAGTTATGTCGTGCATGACATTAACTTTAAATCTGCTTTACAGGTCAGTTTTAATTAATTGCTAGTTTACAGTACTTTTTGGCAGTGAAAATTAAGTCTATATGAATACTAGAAATAATGAAAAAAAGGGAATAAATCAGTCCCTATTTTTAAAACTTGTGCCATTATTATTTGTTGGCTATTTGTTTGGTTTATAATTTGTCATTATATTGATGATGTCTTGATACCAGCCAATTATTGCAGTGCTGATCATTGTTGAAAATATTAGCATATCTACTCTTCCCATGAATGTAACAACAGACAGTAATTTCAGAAAACTGAATCCAGAATTCCAGATATTTCAATCAAATCCTTAAATTTTGTGTGAACAGACAAATTACTCAGAAACTGCAGTTAAAATATCTGGCATCTGTCAAATCTCATGTTTTTACAAATGGTGTGACAAACAAACCGCATTTGATGTTTAGTTTGTGTTGTTAAGAAGACTTTTCTGTGTCTTTGAAAGCAAATGTACTTTGCATGCACTTCTAAAGGAATTTAATCCGTTTTGCCGTGTATTCAAGTTAGACATATGCTGATATCCAGTAATTCATTCATTTTCTTGTCGGCTTAGTCCCTTTATTAATCCGGGGTCGCCACAGCGGAATGAACCGCCAACTTATCCAGCAAGTTTTTTTCGCAGCGGATGTCCTTCCAGCCACAACTTATCTCTGGGGAAACTCCAGTAATTTAATATTGTTATAATGAACATGCAGGATCTTATTATTGTGGGCACTTCAAAATACAGTGAATATTTCTATATATTTTATTTAAACTTTTAGTGAATACTCCTATTGTTGTATTTACAGTGGTGTTCATCATAACAAGAAATGCACAAACGCTTAGGCTGTTTATTTTCAAACATTAACATTTTCATGTTATTCTGGTTTATGACTTTGAAATTTCTGTGATTATTTATAAACATTTTGTTCGTTAACTCTGAAATAATGTTAACAAGTCGACATTTACTGTACAAAGTCAGTGTAATGACAACTACAAAAGCATGTATTAATCGTGTTATGTTCTTATATAATGCATTAATTTCTTAATCATTTCCTTAAATGGAGTTAACTTCATTTTCTCCAGAACCATCTGGAGCCATCCATATGCGGAGCCAGCTCCAGTCATGTTATCTTCTGAACGCTAACGCCCAGCTAGTCAGCCAGGTATCACAGAGGCCTTTTCAAAAATGGCCAAATACAAAAGAAAAAGTGAAAAATGGTAGACGTTGACAGCAAGAAATGGAGCAGCATGTTTTGTAGTTGAAACCGCGCCGTTTCGCAGTGTAGAGAAGCCAGTTTTCCTAAAATTCCGAAAATATTATTGATAAGTATAGTGTCATTTTAGGCTATTTGTAAAGTTCTTAATGTAACATTTAATTGTTATTATACTGTTTCAAGCAGTTAAAGTTATTTAATATTTAACTACATTATCATAGGCTGTATTGTGTTGTTTTATCAACGAAAATTAAACAAACGCATATGTTTGTACGGATATAATACTTTGGTCTTTGTTATTTCTTCATTTTTACATAAAATGTAAATTAACTTGGGTAGGCTACTTGGGTACAGAGGCATCATTTTTTGGTGGTACAGGAGGAATATTTTGCCAGTGAATATTGCCCCCATCACTTAATAAAATAAAATAAATAAATAAAATGCATTACGGAATGGATGCAATGAAGAAAAAACATACTCTTAATCATTCTTCATATACTGATTCGTAGCCTTTGTGCAAAAAAACCATATTGCACCGACAAGAATAAGCTCTAAAAGGTAAAGTCTAAAGCAAGAGGAGTTATTATATGTTATTAATATTAGTTGTTAATATTAATGATCGTAAACACGACCTGTGTTTTATAATAAGTGCCGTTACGGTGTCGTGTCTGCGATCTTTTCTCGTTGAAGAACCAATAATTCATGTTATCGCCGTCTTCCCAGCCAGGTTTTCATCCACAGTTTCCACTTTTGTTTCTTCTCAAACAATAAAGGATCGCTATAGCAGGCCCGGCGGCAGGATGTCATAATTGAGGGGGCTATTACCAATTTTATCAATGAAGGTTAGGCAACTGTATACCGTTTACATTATTGCAGACAGATTATGGCTTAAGCACCAAAAAAAATTGTAGTTAATAAAAATAATGTTTTACTTAGTTACATTTTAAGGCATTAGTGTAGCAAAACAGAGAGCCTTTCTACCTACCTAGATTATTCAGCTTGCAGTGCATGGGGTGGGTCCGCTGTAAATCCACATACTTACGCCCTAGGCCTATATACCTTTTTAATTTAGAACACTGTAAACTTGACTTTGCAGGTCAATCATCTTTAAACTCAAAAGGCATTTTTTAAGTGTCCTAACTTGAGACTGCTGCTGTATAATGAGATGTTTCTTTACACAACTTTAACAGTTAGTTTTAGCAATGTCAAAATGAAAGCAAATATTTTTATTAGGGTTTTGCGTTTTGTCAATTTTATAGCATAATAATAATAACAATAATAATAATAATAATGAATATTATAAGTTATTATATTATTTATAGAGTAGACATTACTAATAGTCTAATATTGATCCCTAACTGAAAAACTAATGTGAAAATGACTGGCAGCTGCGCCTCAGCTAAAATTTATTTAACGGCAAATTTCTTCTTTTTTTATTTTTCTCTCTCTCTTTATAGTTTAAGAGAGTTGTATTTAAAGAATTAGTTAAGCAAAACATGAAATGAATTGGGCTTCGTGTTATCCACTAGTCAAGTTTTCTCCTGTGTGAGTTTAGAGTGCACCTCCGCCAAGTGCGCATTTAAGCCTGCATAATAGACCAAATCAAAGCAAATCTAAAGTCCAGCGCAGAGCACATTAGTTGTGCGCCTAACTAACAGCAATACGCAAATACCTTTACAAATGAAAAAGAATTAGATTTAAAATATTACAAAAAAATATATTTTCTAGCCTACATAATTATAAAAACCACCGCCTTCATGCCTTCATCATCACGGGGGGCCTTTTTCAGTTTATTCATGATAATTTGGTTTTGTATAATGTTATCATTATTAGCAGAATTATATATTATATGCATATTCATATTTTTTTTAAAAAAACAAGCTTAGAATTGTCCACTTGTCAGGTTTTAGACCAAATGAGGCATAGCATGTGTATTTGGATAACTCAATTTTTTGATCACACTTCATTATTATTGTTCATTTATTCGTTTGCTGAAAATTACAACTGACGTTAGAAGTAGTTTTGAAACAAATTAATGCGCTTAGCAAACAAATTAATTATTTTTAGGCTAATTGATGTCTCTGCGTACAAGGTTTCCCTCATTCTCCTGCTGCAGATGCTCTGTTTAACTGTTTTCTTACTAGTGAAACTCTGTTTTTTCACTTACAAAGTCCGTCATGTAAATAGCAAATGCGCTATGGCACAAAGGAAATAGTAGATGAGACTCAGGTTTATTCTCAAAACACACCTATAACTCATTAAGAGAATAAGCTCAACCCTGTTAAACCATGTGCCACAGCGCAAAGCGGATTTTTCCATCCTTAAAATAGCAAAAGTGGATTCGGACACACCTTCAATGCTTTTGCACCCTGTGCTTTGGGCCTGGATCCTCAAAATAGAGCCCAATTTTTCCAATATCGTGAAGCCCTAATTTTGTTAACCTTTTTAATATAGTTGTTGTTTTTTTCTTAATGTTAATGCAGTAACTAATGTTTACTAGTGAGACTGTCATCAAGTATTGTTGCCTATTTTTTGTCATCCATTTCAATTGTATTTACAATCTTAAAGTAATATTTTGAGCAGATACCTTTAATCTACTTGCACTACAGGTAATAAGTTTGCTTGAGTATGATTTTTTTCCTATTAATAGTGTTACCTATTGTACAATCATCCTTTTTTATGTACTCTTAACATGCATGTACAATAAAGCAATACATTAGGTATTTTTATTTATTATTATTTTTATTTATTTAGTTGCAGCTTAGGTTAGTATCATATCGTCGATTGGGATACGCTTCAGCAACTAATCGTGACCTGAAATTTTGACACCAGCAGAAGCCTACCTTTTTTCTTGAGCTAATTTCTCTATACATCATAAAAATGCAGATGTTGCTGCAGTGGCATTATGAGATAATTAAAATGTGACTGATTGAATAATAACCTGCATGATGAATGAACTGTGACAGTCATTGGAGACTGGTCTGGGGTCATTGTCATAACACCTTGCATATGATTGGCAGGCTACCAGAGGAGACTTCTTTCAAAACCAGCTTCTCCACTGCTACCATCCACTGAGGCTATATGTGAGAGTGAGGCTTCCAAATGTGCCCCCATGGGTCCGCCAAGTATGTACTGTTTTGATTTTGCCATGCATGTTCATATCATGAATGCAGTGTTTAGGCATGGGACGATAACCGTTTTTAAGGTTTACCACGGTTTGGAAAAGTCAAGGTTTTAAAACTGCTAACATTTTCTGTTATACCGTTCCCAGTATATGTAAGTTTTTTTTAATGTATTTTTTATTTGTTATAAAGAAATCTGTGTTTTTGAAACTAATAAAGAGAGCAGAAATCTATGATTTATTAAAAATATTTAGCCTGACATGTTTACTGTTCCAAAATATTATAAATGTTTCTTAAAATAAAATTAATTGGCAATTAAATAAAATTAATGTGTAAAAGGTTTTTTGTTGTTGTTGCTGTTTTTTTTACCCAGACATTTAAAAAATAGAGCAGTAATCACAATTCTATGAAACCGTGGTGTTTTTATTCAAGGTTATCATACTGTCAGGAACTTATACCGGCCCATGCCTAATAGTGTTTAGTTGCCTCTATAACCCTTGCCTAAACTGTTGTGATTTATAGGAATTGTCTGTTTGTTTATCAAATATATGCATTTTAGGCCATCGCATGTCCCAGGTCTCGGAGACCAATAAGGTGGCAAACAAACGATTGTCAATAGCAAAAATGCCTGATGCACAGAAGAGAGGAAAGGTATTCTATTTCATTCAGATTTCACACTCGTTTTCCTATGATGAGAATTCATTGCACAAAAAGATAAATAAAAGACTTATTTATGAGCATTTCAACATATTTTGTGGTTTGCTGTTTTGTTGCATGTTCATGCATACTGTGGCTTTTGTTTTGTGCTCATTGGACAGTATAAAGGGTGTCCGTGGGATCTTAAAGTCTTACAATTTAAAAACAAAATTTTAGGCCTTAAAGTCTTAAATTCACTGAAATATTGTGTTGTAGATCTTGAATCATTTTTAAAGTCTTAATTTTCCTCTGTCCAACTAAAGCTATGCAATCGGGTCAAATGCATCCGATTACCAACAATCCATCTTAAAACTTTATTTTTTTTATTGCAAAGATATACAAATAATTAAAATACAAATCATGTTGTGATATTTGAATCAAGTAAAAAAAAAAATTATTTCAAATGATTTAATTTAGATTATTTTGTTTGTTTTGTCAGAGGCCTTGTAATTTTTTATTGCAATTGTGCAAAAAAATATATATATAGAAAACTGTTCTCATTTATAATATTTTCTGTTTTACTCATAGTTTGGAGAAACGAATCGATCTAAGCAGTTTTACCAGATGATTGAGGAATACAGAGAGACTGTGCAGAAAGTACCCATGTCCCTGTCGGATCCAGTGAGTTAATAAGCATAATACTAATATAATCATCTATTCTTTTCATATTTTAATACAAAGTGCATGTTTTAGGTCAAAACTCACCGAATTTGTGTCTGCGTTCGCAAACGACCACTGAATAAAAAAGGTAGGTTGCTGAGATGACCCCTTAAATTGATATTTGTATAGTTTTTCTCTTTGGTTTTTGGTGCATTGCTGCATTCCCAATTATTTGTGTTTAGAGTTGGCAAAGAAAGAGATTGATGTGGTGACAATCCCTGGTAATGGAGTCCTACTACTGCATGAGCCCAAGCAGAAAGTGGATCTAACCAAGTACCTGGAGAATCAGACCTTCCATTTTGATTACTCATTTGATGAAGACGCCACAAATGACTTGGTATACAGGTTTGTATTTTGAGTTTGTTATGTATTGATTGCCATACATGTCTATGGTGGGTGTTTATTTAAATGAATCCTGTTATGTTTTATTGTTTATACTACAACATTCTTTTGGACAGTACCTTATTCAAATAATTCCTACACTACCAAAATACATAAAAATGAAGGTTGTTTGATAGGGGTGTAAACCTACACTGGTCTCATGGTTCGATTCGGTTACCATTATCACGCCAACGATTTGGTTCAAATTGATATCTCGGTGCATAACGGTACATTGTCGATGCTTTCTATACACAATTTTATATTTTACTTCACAGCACAAGAGTTCTAATATTAAAATGTATATATTTTTTCAATAATTTGTAAAACAATCTTGTCCTTCAATGGAAGTAGTCAGATACATGAACTGTACCTTTAATTTTACCTGCTCAAAGAAAACACTCTTTTAAAATGTATCAAACAAAATTCAAGTATATGCACAGTACAACATGAGCGTTTAAAGCCATTAAACAAACATAAATATTATCCCGCTTGCTTTTGAGCATTGTCAAGCGAGTTGTAAAACGCATATGATTGGTCATGTGCTCAACAGAAAAGGCTGCGATTGGCTCTATTGCTCTGATGCTGTCCACCAATGACTGATAAACGGACTTTGCTATCACAGCTGATCCATGATCGAAGCGGTGGTGAAAACTTGCTCTGCAGACACGCTTCTGTCTGGATCCACAAGTACTGATATAACAGCTGAAAGGAGAGAAAACATTATCTCACACCAGCAGGTCAAAGGTCCCCAGTAAGAGAGAGAAATGGAGTTTACTTTTCTCCATAGCAGTGAAATAGGGACTTCTGCTGTAACTCCTGAAAACACACACAGTGAATTGTGCAGAGTTTCTGCATTTTAATTAATCGTGCTCGCCTCCTTTGCCATAGTATTCTACTACAACATAGTGCATATGAGATAAATGTTGTCAGTATGTAATAACCGGTTAGAGCCTATTACTGAACAGATACTGAACTGTCCTCGTCTGCATCGCGGTGCACAGAAGAAACAATTAATTTTGACACCCTTATTGTTTGAGTTGCGCTAGAGAGGACTGGGAAGACTAGCTGTTTTAGTCACATGTTGTCACCTTTTATCATACTTGTTTTGCAGTGGATAAACTTAAACTAAGCAGAGAACCAAAACCGATCTGCTTGTTAAGTGATGACGTGTTGGTGATAAACGTAATACTGTTTCCGGGTCCAAGCCGCCACTAAATTAGGTTGAAAAATTATTTGTTTATGATCACTTTTAATTTATATCACACATTAAAGTTAATTTTATATGAAGTCATAGTGTACACATCAATCTCTGGGCTTGCTGCATCACAAATACGAAAATTTTAACAATTTATAAAAAAAATTATGACTTTTTGGCCATAGGATAATTAGCAAGGACATGTATATTGAGATTGTGATTTTTGAAAGTATTAAATCTCTTTGTAAACGTTTATAATTTCCACTTCATGAGTCTCCTCGTACATTAAAATAGAGCGCTTGGACCCGTAAGCCGCTTCGCGTGACGTCACACTTAACAAGCGGATAGACAAGAGGTGCTACATTCATGTAAAATTTTTGGAAAATAATGTGGTTTTAAAATTATCAACCATGAAAATCCACTCTTGCACCCTAAAAACAAATTCAATATCAAAAAGGTTTTATAGGACCCCTTTCTAAACCCTGAGGAAATTTGAATCTTTGTATCCTTGCTTTGCTTCGCACTGCTCCTAATCCATTACTGGGATTATCAATCAGTCATGGGTATTTATGAACTAATATTTTGCAATACACATTTATAAACCATGTGTTAACATTTTATTTGAATAATTTTGGTGTCTGCTATATCATTGATCAGTCTGTTATTTATGTTATGACTAGTGTTCTGCATCCTCATATTGATCATTATTAAATCAATGACAGTATGTAGTGTATATTATAAGTATGTGGTACTAACTTTGCACTGGAAGAGACTTCTGTAACTGGAGGTTAAAAAGTGTTCCTTTACCTTGAGAAACCTGCATCATGCCTTGTAATTACATGCATATGAAAGAGTAATCGTTGCCAACATTTATTTCTTACATTTAAAGAAGTCATTAGTTATTAACAAAACTTTTGGCAAGGAATTAACATTCTTTACTTTTTTTTTTTAAACATAAAATCCCAGTTTGATCCATGTGAGTCCAATCTACAAAATATTTAAACGATTATGCGTTCAACTTTTAGGTTCACAGCTAAACCACTGGTTAAGACCATTTTCGAAGGTGGTATGGCAACGTGCTTTGCTTATGGCCAAACAGGCAGTGGAAAGACCCATGTAAGTTATAATCTTGTTCCAAAAATACAAAAAAAAAAATCCCAAACTCAGTGTTTTACATGCAAGACATTCTTTACAGACTATGGGTGGAGACTTTTCTGGAAAAAGCCAAAACAGCTCTAAAGGGATTTACGCCCTGGCAGGTGATTGTAACTGTCAAATGCACTTTACACAGTGACTCGTTTCATTCATCCATGTTCACTCACATATTAATCTTTCTGCATTCCTCACAGCACAGGATGTATTTACCCTCCTAAGGCAAAAACGATATGTGGATATGGACCTGTGCCCATATGTCACCTTTTTCGAAATCTACAATGGCAAGGTTTGGATTTATTACATTACATATATCAAAAACACTGCAACGATCTCTTGTCAACCAAACCGCTGGTAGTTCTTGATTTTTCAGTAATTGCATTTTTCTGTTTAGTGTGAATAAACCACACATTTCCAAATGACTAATGTGATCTTGGTGCTAGGTTGAGCAATATTTGTAGTATTATGTAATTTTATACTAATTAGATTTTAGATTTTTGTTGCAAATTTAAAAGTACTTGCTCAGGCATGACGGTAAACTTTTTGTTTTTGTGTACTTCAGGTTTTTGACTTGCTGAATAAGAAAACAAAGCTGCGTGTTTTGGAGGATGAGAAGCAACAGGTCAATGTTGTTGGCCTGCAGGAAGTGCCTGTGTCATGTGTTGATGATGTCATCAAGATGATTGAGAGAGGAAGTGCATGCAGGTAAAAAATTATAATGATTCTGTTTATGGTGCAGCTCTGCCTTGATTCCTCTCTCTATTTATTTATTTATTTATTTTATTTTATTTATTTTTTTTACTTGAGGGTATAAAAATGTATTGTAAGTTATTGTTTCTAACCTTATTTATAACCTTATTAAGGTTTATTTGAATTACTGCAAGCATTCTGTAATAGTTTAGTTAACGCTATCAACACTGTCTCACTTTATACCAGAACATCTGGCCAAACGTTTGCTAATGCCAGCTCATCACGCTCGCATGCGATTTTACAAGTAATCCTGAGACGACGGAACTTTCTCTATGGGAAATTCTCACTGGTGGATCTTGCTGGGAATGAACGCGGCACTGATGTCAGCAGCAACGATCGGCACACAATAGTGGAGACCGCTGAGATCAACCGCAGCTTACTGGCTTTGAAGGTACTTGCTGTCTACTGCATGTAGGCATGGGCTGGTATAGGATTCTGACGGAATGATAACCTTGGGTAAAAATATCAGTTTCACGGTACTGTGATCACTGCTCTAAATTATTATTATTTTTAAATGTCTGGGTTGAAAACTAAAACTTTTTTCCCCTTATCGAACACAATACATTTTTAAATGAGAAACATTTGAAAGATTTTGGAGCAGTAAACATTTAAATGAATCATTGATTTCTGCTGTGCTTTTTGGTTTCAAAAACAGGTTTCTTAAATATTTAAAACAGCATCTTTGGGTATCTTTTGTGCTGGAGATACTGTTGTCATAGTAAATAAAAAATCTTACATATACCATAGGAATGGTATAGCCGAAAATTTGGTGGTTTTCAAACATTTCAAACATTGACTTTTCCAAACCGTGGTATATTTTGAAAACAGTAATCATCCCATGCCTAACTGCATATAAATTATAGTAATACACAAATTAATTGCTATTGTGCAACATTATTTATATTTAGCTTACATGGTTAACTCGAGCCAAATTAACAAATGTCATCCATTACTCCACTTCATGCAGTTTAACATTTTTGTTATTTGTAATACAGATGAAGGTGTTTTTATTGAAACCTAAGAGATTTCATCCATTTCTGAATTTTTTAAATGTTTATAGAGATCAACATTATAAATCTTTATGGACCAAGTGGTCAGATTTCTGGGTAAATAGCTTTTGAGGAGATACCAAAATTTCTTAGATTTTATAAAAACACCCTTTGTTGGATTTTGTGACAATACTTTGTGAATAATACTTTATTAGTTTAAAATGGTATGCGAGTGAGTAAATGATGATGATGATTCATTTTGGGGTGATCTGACCTTTTAATATTTGCTGTAGTTGCTGTTGTTTGTTCACTGTTCTGACACGCACAAATTAGCAGTTTCGAAATGTTAAAGCAATAATTTGTTCACCTCTTGCCTGATTCCTCAGGAATGCATCCGGTCTCTTGGTCAAAACAGCGAGCACATCCCATTTAGGATGAGCAAACTGACCCAGGTGCTTCGGGACTCCTTCATTGGTGAAAACTCCCGGACCTGTATGGTAAGAGTGGACTGCTATGGGTGAATTTTGTTAAGGTTGGTTCAGAATCTTCAGTCTCCTTGTGCTTGTACCTTTTCCAGATCGCTATGATCTCACCTGGCATGAGCTCTTGTGAATACACTCTGAATACACTACGCTATGCAAACAGGTGCTTTTTATCTTCCTTGATTTGCACTGGTATTGCTTTGTCTGGCTGAGGAGGCCCTCTGCTGGTGTGTTTTAGGTGATGCAGTGATTTTTATGTTTTTATAGGGTGAAAGAACTGAATGGAATCTCCAAGGGTGATGCTGTGGAAAATGGTTCAAAACTGGAACTTTCTGAGGAGGGAAACTCCTCAGAAGAGGTGAGTAAATCTGTCTAAAATGTTTTATTGATGATTTGAACTGAATTAATTTTAGTTTGAACCACTGTATTTTAGGGTGTCTGCTGGGTCTAAAAGTCTTAGGCCCAGTTTCACAAACATGCCTTAGATTAAGCCAGGACTAGGCCTTAGTTAAATAAGGGTATTTAAGACACATTTATAAAAATGGCCTTAGAAAAATATTACTGGTGTGCTCCTGGAGACAAAAAAATGGCACTGACATATTTTAAAACATCTCAACGCAATTCATTTTGAGTTGAGACAGCTCAAACATGCAATTTAATCCTGACTAGCCTTAAACCTTGTTTGTGAAACCAGGGGTTAATGTCTTAAATTCCAAAAACAAAATTTTAAGCCTTAAAGTCTTAAATTGACTGAATTATTGTCTTGTAGGTTTAAAAGCATTTTAAACTGGTCCTAATGTTTCTTTATGTAAAGCTACCCAATCGATCCAACACGCATCCAATCACCAACAAATACATTTGAATAAAAAAATCTCTTTAAAAACTAAATGTATGCACAACAGACTGTTTATTCAGTTTTTTTGTGTGTGTGTTGTTAATTATGTTTAATTGTTATGTTGCAAAACGTATATGTATATACCTTGGGTCTGCTTGTTTTGGACAAGTACATTTTTTTTCGTAAGGGCCATTTAAGAAATCATTAACGTTTAGCCCTATATAAGTCTGAAATTTCATTCTTCATGGTCTTAAAAAGGTCTTAAATTTGATTTTGTGAAACCAGCAATCCCTGTATTATACCACATTTGTTGTAAAAAAAAAAATTATTAAATTGTGTTATTTAATGTTATTTTAAATGAAAATAAACATTAAATATTACATTTTCAATATACATGGGTACATTTCAGTTTTAAGTAAAGCAAGAAATTTGGGATAAAATGTGATGTTTTTTTAGGAGACTGTCCTGCCAGAGTTTGAGGCTATATCCCGAGTGTCTGAGATGGAAGAGAGGTTTTATGAAGAATTGAAGGTTTGTAGCTTTTTGATTTGAACAGGTGTGTTTACACAACAAACCTCAAGACAGAGTGGGGCGGCGTTGTTTTAAAACTCTCTATCACTCAAAAAGCTCCTCATAGCAAGGAAGTTACAAAACATAGCTTTGTTGTTTGTTTACCCTTGAATGCGTTTATCCAGGCATGCATTTCAACAGCTTCAAGTCAGAGGGATTAGAGGATTTGTGTTTATTTTCTTTTATCCTTCTTTTTTCAGGGTTGCAGTGAGGTTGCCAAATCTATGGAGCTTCCATCGTTTGACATAGTAGCAAATTTATCAAACATTGACTCATTCATGAGGAAGCTGCAAGGTACTACATTTTTGTTCATAAATGGACATGGGTCAAAGATTAATATTTCATATGTGTATTTTAATGTATAAAATGTTATACCTTTGTTATACTTTATACATATTTTTATTTTTTTTATTTATTTATTTATTTTTTGCATATACAGTTATACATTTATATTATGATTTACAGATATACAAAAATAATATTATTAATATATTTATTTATTTATTTATTTATATATTTTGGGGGGGCATTTAGAAAGTCTAATTGGTAAAAACTGCACAAAAGCCTCACATCAATCTTAATGGGTGGATCAGCCAATCAAAAAGTCAGCAACGGCAAAGCTCCAGAAAAAAAAAAATTTTAATTTAAAAAGACTACCACAAAGCGTGTAATGTTTTGAGCACAGGTTCTTCATCAGACAGTCTTCATCACAGCATGTTGCTCTTTTTATACACTTCTGGATCACACAATCTCATGTTATCTCACAAATTTTTTTTTTTTTTTTTTAAATATACGTTACAGGGTGTCCGCGGGATCTTAGAAATTGTTAAAGCTTGATTAAAGATTAAATCAATTCAGAGAAATTTAAGGTCCTTAAAGTATTAAAGTCTTAAATGCTTTTTTGCAAGGTATTGATTTTTATATAATTTTTAATTGTTCAGTGTATGGTTGCATGCTAAAGTGAATTAAATCTGCGAATATCAGGATGCTGTGTAGTTTATGAAAGCAATAAAATCCTGCTAGATTTGACCTTGTGCTGTTTTGTTTACTGCAGTAACCAAGTCGACACCACTATTTCTGCAGTTCTATAGGCACCAACCTACTAAATTAGCTCGATTTAATAGATTTTTATTCAGTAAATGAATGTTTAAGCTTTGGTACATTAATATTTAGTAAATATACTGTAAGTTAAAATCTCGCCAGTTTTTCCGGTTGAAACCTAAAGTAGTTATTAGGTTTTAAAATGGTCAGCACTAATAGCCTAGTGCACAGGTGTCAAACTCGGTTCCAAAAGGGCTGCAGCTCTGCACAGTTTAGTTCCAACCCTAATTAAACACACCTGATCAAACTAATTGAGTCCTTCAGGCTTGTTTGAAACCTACAGGTAAGTGTGTCGGAGCAGGGTTGGAACTAAACTGTGCAGGGCTTCGGCCCTCCAGGAATTGAGTTTGACACCCCTGGCCTAGTGGTTAAGCACGCTGACATATTGAGTTCGATTCCCGTCTCCAGGTATTTTGCTGACCCTTCTCCTGTCTCTGCTCCCAATACTTTCCTTTCTGTAACCTCCGCTATCCTTTCTCAATTAAAGGTGAAAACTATAAAAAATATAATAAGGTCTTAATGTAAAAAGGTGTTGAATTTCACTCATTGTACATATTCAAAACTAAAACAGTAAATGAAAATACAGTGTCAAATTTTTCTCATTTAAAAAAAGGTATAATCACAAAAACTCTTATTTCATGTGATCAGTTTATTAGACTTTTATATTCCCTTCCATACTTTTGAATGTGTATATGAATACTCAACAAAAATGTATGTTATGATGTCCCCAGAGCATGCGCTGGTACATCTTTCAGCCTGGTTAGAACAATGCTGTTTACAGTTAAACATTACTAAAACAGTGTGTATTTTCTAAGAATGATAGGTTAAGTTTAGTACCAGATGTATTTGTATCAGGGAAAAGATTACAAGTTGTATCTGAGTACAAGTACATTGGTGTTTTGGTAGATTCAAAACTATCATTCAGGTCACAGGTTAAAAAGGTATGTTGCCGGATAAGATTCAGTTTTGCAAATTTTAGATTTATTTATTATGTGAGGTTGCCCTAATCTATTTACACTCAATGATCATTTCTCATATCACTTATTGTTTCACCACTTGGTCCCAAGCTAGCATTACTAATTTAAAGCCACTTGAATCATAGTAAAAATCTTTAAAAACCCTTGATAAGAAATCAATTCAATTTTACCATTATTCAATATTAAAGAAATACAACTTGCTTAGTTGGTGAAAACCTAATTAAATATGCACATGTTTACTGTTTAAGACTTTACATAATCTGACTTTACCACTAAATCAAGGAAAGTTAGAACTCCTCACTGAACTACTAGGGGTGGTGAAAGAGAGGATTGTATTATTCCCCCAAAAAAGTTAATTCAGTTTGTCTGTGATTTCAGTGAAAGCTGCTTGGGATTGGAATTCAATCCAATCAACTAGGGTTGTCGATACGATACCCAAAAATGTTTCGATACTATACCAGCTGAAGTATAGTGATACCAAATAGTATTGCGATACTGTAACTTAAATCTATTAAATAAAGAAAATTGTCAGAAATACTATATTTTAAAATGTTAAATAGGCCTACTTAAATTGATTTCATAATTCCTATATTAATGAAAAATGTCACTTTATCTAAAAAGTATTAGTTTATTTTGTTTATTTTGTAGATAACTGACCAGCAAAATACACATTCAAATAAAGATACAAATTATAGCAAATTAAATTAGTTAAAGCATTTCTCCCAAAAAAATAAAAAATAGGCTATGTGAAGTAGTCAAATGTTTTTCAACGTTTCCTGTTGCTATTTTGGGGTTTTTCAAAAGTCATTTAAAATTTCACTTTGAGTCGTTCTTTTTAAAAGTTTGTTGCGGTTGTTGTAGCTACTAAACCATATTGACAGGAAAAAATTTTACTGATTTCAGATTTGAACTGAAGCGTCAGAAAATGTGCAATAGGCTACCAAAAAAGGTGTGAATTCTACAGTTTTGCAACCTTAAAGGGCTCCAGAGACTATAAAAAAATAGTTTGTTTCACAAACGTGCAAGCATTTTAGTGACTTTTCCATGTGCAACGTTAGGTATAGACTGTGGATGACGATATTACTGTTTACAAACTACAGTGGCACCATTAGTATTTTGGAGCCATAATGTCATGATACTACCATAGTACTGGTAAACCGTGCAATCCTACCACCAACAATTAGAAGATCACTTACTTTTCGGTCTTTTCAGTTTCATGTTAAAAATTGGTCATTGACAAATCAGCATTGTCAGCATTAGTACTGTATTTTTGACACTTATTTATACTGTTTGTCTTTGGCTTTTTTTGTCCCCTTCTGCTGCCATCAATCAGTTTTAGTTTTGCTTTTTTTATTGTATTTTATATTTGATAGTATTCTACTGTGCTTCTATTTTAGGTGTGACTTTTTAATATTCTGTAAGGGGTCCACAGATGAAAAATGTCTATTAATTTGCATTGACCCTGTAAACAAATAAACTAAACTTAATCCAGCATGTGTAACACCATATAGTTACCTTAACATCATTCTATTCTATCCTTCTACACTTTTGGTTTATATAATAACTTGTTTGAGTTTCAACACACGTCGCAATGACACAAACTGTGTGATTTGAGAGGGTGTTGAGAAAAGCTGGCCATTTCCTGCTGAGCATTGAAATTGTTTTTTCTTCTTGTTATAGAGTCTTACCAGGCTTTGAGATCAGCTATTGAAGCAGAACAGAGGGTCAGAATGTCACCAAACTAATCTAAGATGAGATTCAGCGGCAACGATACCTCTCACAAAAGCTAATGAAACTTCAATTTCGTTCCTTTAATAATCCTATTTACTATCTGGCTACAAGAGATATCAAAAGATGTTTGTTTGTTTTTTGTACTGTTTGTCCGTTTTAATTGTTTTTGTGTACTGAATAAAGGAGCCTTCATTTTGGATCTTTTGTAAGTCACATTTTGAACGTTGTGTCCTGGTTTTTTCAAAGCCGTCTTCATCAACTCTCCCAGTTCACCTATTTGCATTTGGATTCATTTCAAGTCTCACCTTGATATAGAAAAAAATTCATTTTTATCATGATGATGCCAAAATGAAAGATGGTTCGAGTACTGCCTCATACCACCCACCCTTCCCATCACCCCCCGCACCAGCCTTGACCTCCAAACCGCTTCTATATACAAGCCACAACCAGTGTATACACTTGCCCTGCGAGCACAAGCTGACACATGACAAATCAAAGGCCTAATAAACAGTTCACACTGAACAGTTTACCTCAAAGGATGAAAATAAACTAAATCGGCCTGTGAGTGGGTGGCCCTACATCTCTGTGTGAGGCCTGGAAGCTCAACTGCTTCCTCTGAGCTTGTTGGGTGGCATTTCCCACCCCCCACCCCTCCCAAACTATTTACCCGTGCTTTGGAAATGCATAGCTGTGCTACATATATTCCGCTAAAATAAGGAATGTAAGATGAATGTGTCTTGTTCAAGCACCATGTTTGATGTACATATACTTGTGTGTACTACTTTTACAATATGCGTTCAAGACTTCATTGTTTACTGCTTGATTAATAAATAACTGTCATTCTGTAAATCTAGTTTTAAGTGTACTTGCTATTTAGCTTTTTTTGTTTATGTATGCCTTTGTTGCAAAATGTGTTCTGTGGAAAATGTTCTGAATGTTTAGTTGAGAGAAAATGTATCAACCTTTGGTTGTACTGCTTCATTGCTTTAAAAATTACTTTAAAAAGTTATTGGAATATAAACATTTAAACAGATTCACGTTCAGTCTGTTAAGTTTATTTTTAATAGTTTTTTTATTATTTAACTAATTTTTAGGCCTGAAAATGTCCTAAATCCACTGGTATGTTGTGTTGTAGGTTTAAAAGAAATTTAACAGGTTTCAATTGTCCTTTGTTCATGAGCTACCCAATTTGGCTATTAACACCCATACAATCACCAACAATCCATCTTAATAACACTTCTAACTTTTTATTTAAAAACAGTCTTTAGTTACTTTTCTTGCAGTTAAAAAGTTCTCACTTTATTTACTGCTGAGGAAACTGACCTGACCTGTATATTGTTTATTATTAAATTATTATTACTGAAGTAATTGACAGCTATGTGTTTTGTTCTATTCTTGGTAAGGGTTATAGGGTTTGTGAATGGATATATTTGAAAATTAATTAAAAAAAATATTCAAACTAAATTATTATTGTATTATTAAATATATCAAATTTTAATCATTTTTGATAAAAAATACTTAAAATTTAGCCTGTATAAATTAAACATTTCATTCATAATTGTCTTTAAAATGTCTTAAATTTAACTTGATGAAACCTGCAGATACCCTGAATTTTGTTTATAATGTATTTCATATGAAAAACATTCACTGGTATGAGAGAAATACTGAGGAAAAAATAGAATTCCACTAAAAATTTCAAAGTTTTTCTGAATTTACAATTTATGGTTGTGTAAAAGTATTTTTAGTTTTCTTCTGTAAGCTATTGATGAGATTTTTTGCATGTTTAAAAAATGTTTCGTCATCCAGAGCATGTTTGCAATGAAGTGACAAAAAGGCACCATGTTTTCAGACGTTCACTTTTAGACAAAACAATACCAATGTTTTCCTACAGAAAGTTAGGAAAGCAGCATTTGGTGAAATAACTGCACAGCAAATAAAATTAAAATTAAAACATTTGTTACTTTGAACAACTGTCATTCTCTAAAAAAAAAAAAAAAGATCAAATTAAAAAATATATTTTTATACATCTGAAGGAAATGTTTTCTGACCTTAGGATAAAGCAAATATTACTCAAGCATATACTTAGTAAATTCAGTACATACAGAAATTGGGAATTTTCTCTGGGTCTCCTGGGTTTTTTTCAGAGCACATTCGTTAAGTTAATGCTTTTTATAATGAATATACATAATGAATTGTTTTGTCATGACCCTGCATAGTCATGTTTTCATTGTAAGTTTCTGTCATGATGTTACAGTAAATCACACTGATGTTTTTCTTATTTTTTGTTTAGTTGATCTCTTTGATCGGATCTATTTGATTTCTATTGGAAAAAAAGAAACTTTGCAGTGAAACAAAAATTGATTTTTTAAAATTGATTATCATTCATAACCTAAAGGAACAATCCACCCAAAAATTAAATGTTAAATTATTTCCTCACCCTCATGGAATTTTAGGCCTTTACACTTTTTCACCCTCATGGAACATAAATGCCTTTATCCATATTCACAAGTTGTTTTGCTGATAATTGTACCCTGTAGTGAGCTGTTAACCTCAGAAGCACTTAGGCATGATCACTGAGTCGGTGAGTTGAAGCCAGTTGATCCCTTTTACAAATTGCCTGATTTGTTCACAACTCACTGACTCTGTAACTGTGGTCACAGAAACACTAAGATTAACAGGGACTTTCAGCAAACAGCCGCTGATGAAATGCCAAGCGTTAATTAAAGAAAGTTTTACGCAGATAACGAGTTTTTTCTTGCAGAAACTGTTGTTTGTTGTGATCTATTGAATACAAATGTCTCCTGCTACCGAAAGCAAAATGAATGCCTTGACTCCTGATAATGCTCTGAGGTTTATTGAAGTGAAATGATTAGTCTGTGCAAGTTAACATTATTTATAAGATGCTTACCTTTAATCCAAAGCCTAGGCAAGCAGTTCAAGCACATATGACAGTTTGGAACGTGAGTGCAGATGCAAATAAGCATATTTATATGAATTTACTGAACACTGAAGTGATGATGCTACATATTCATCATCTTTGAAATCACAGGAATAACTCCATGTATAGACACAGTTGAAGTCAAAGTTATTAGTCCCATGTGTGAATTTTTTTTCACAGTATTACTATAATATTTTATATACTTTCCAAAGAAAGTCTTATTTTGAATGTTTTTATGACAAAGATAAAAGAAAACAGTTATTAGAAATGAGCTATTAAGACTATTATATTTAGAAATGAGTTGAAAAAAATCTATCCATTAACCAAGAATCCAAGAGTTCACACTTAGCTAAAGATTGATTTTAAAGCGTGTTTGGCATGCTGTCACAGGAGAGAGCCCTAGGCTCGAGGATCTTATGATCTCCCTTCTTTTGCAGGCCGAAAGGGGAGTTTGAGCTCAGGTAGAACTAGAGAACTCCCCTGATGCAGTAGCTAATGAACAGGATTGCTCTTAAGACATAACTACATTCTAGGAGCATGTCTATGGTGCTGATTTGGTTTAGTCAATTAGCTTAAGTTGCATGTTTTTGGACTGTGGGAGGAACCCCCGCACAAGGAGAAAGTGTAAACTCCACACAGAAAAGTCGGCTGGCTTTGTAAGTACTAGAACCTGTGACGTTGTTGCTGTGAGGCAACAATGCTAACCACTGGGCCACCGTGCCACCCATCTAGGAAATGAGGAGGAGTTGGGGTGGAAGGGGGGATTCTTCAAAAGCGAAGATGGCTGTTATATGGAACTTAGGGTATTTATAGTGGCTTATAATAGTCTGATTGGTGAGTCATAAATTGGATAATGAGCCGTGATCAATAAGCAAGTGATCCTCTCGAAATTAGTTTATAAATAAACTTTACTAAGGGAAAAAATATATAGGGGGCTAATAATTCTGACTTCAATTGTGTATATATTTAGGGTTGTTGCCTTAAAGTGGCATTTTTGCTGTCACACATTAATATATAAAACAATTAATATAATAAGTAATGTAATCATTTTAATAAAGGTGGCTCAGTGGTTAGTACTGTCACCTCACAGCAAGAAGGTTGCTGGTTTGGGTCCCGGCTGGGACATTTGGCATTTCTGTATGGAGTTTGCATGTTCTCCTCGTGTTCACATGGATTTCCTCCAGGTGTTCCAGTGTCCGCCACAGTCCGAAGACATGCACTATAGGTGAATTGAATAAGCTAAATTGGCCTGAGTGTGAATGAGAATGTGTGGGTGTTTACCAGTGATGGGTTGCAGCTGGAAGGGCATCCGCTGCATAAAACATATGCTGGATAAGTTAGCGGTTCATTCCGCTGTGGTGACCCCAAACTAATAAAGGGACTAAGTCGAAAAGAAAATGAATTAATGAATGTGTGTGAATGAATGAGTATGGATGTTTTCCAGTACTGGGTTAGAGATGGGAGGGCATCCGCTGTTCAAACATATGCTGGATAAGTTGGCGGTTCAATCCGCTGTGTGGACCACTGATGAATAAGGGGACTAAGCCAAAGGAAAATTAATGAATTAATCATTTAAAAAGCAGTAAATGGTTAAACTTTTCCTTGTCTTTAATGAACCTCTTGTTAAAAAAAAGAAAGTTATATCATTTTTTTCTAATTTAATAATTAAATCTGTGTTAAACTTTTTACAGTTTTGAGCCAAATCTCAAACATGGCCTGTGGTGTGACTATTTCAAGCATAATTCAATAAACTGAACTTTTATAAATTAAAAAGGAAATCGTAAAATAATGTTAAGTCCATGGAAAGCTTTAGTTAAAGGATGCAAGGACTCCATTATAGATCATGCACCCATGAAGTGCTCCTGTTATACTATAAAATTAAGTTTGTCCTTTGGTGTGACAACCCTGTTTGTCAAATATGTCCAACAAGTCACAGAAAACAAAAGAGGTAAATTACTCTCACACTACGTTTATGTTATTAAGCCTTTTTTCTTTTTTTTTTCCCCAAGGTTTTCCCAAACAAAAGAGTTTTATACTACCCTTATATTTATTTATTGGACTCATGGACATTTATGGTTCTGAAAAAAGTGACTTGTGTTGTTCACACTCAAAAATTTCTGCATTTATTTAAGAAATGTAAAGCTAACTTCATTCATTTACTTTTCAGCGTGGTCCCTTTATTAATCAACAGTGGCCACAGCGGAATGAACTGCCAACTTTTCCAGCACATGTTATATGCAGCAAATGCCCTTCCAGCTGAAACCATCACTGGGAATATACACTAAGGCCAGTTTAGCTTACCCAATTCATGTCAGAGCATACAGAGGAAACCCATGTGAACACGTAGAAAACATGCAAACTCCACACAGAAATGCCAACAGAAGCGGGAACCAGCGACATTCTTGCTGTGAGGCAACATCGTTACCCACCACGCCACCATAAAGCTAATTTTATCATAAGAGCTAATATGTTTTGAAAAACCAGTGCTAAATATGAATATTTTTTTTTCTTTACAAGAAAGATAACCTTGAGAGTGTTTTTTTTTATATTTATAGTCGCTTTTTTACATTAATTTGTCAATTTTCTTATAAAAGTTTTAAAGTGATTTAAGATTTATGGGAGCTAATTTGGTATACTTTGAATACAAAAATTTAACAATAAACAAGAGCTAAAGTAAAAAAAAGCATTTCACACAAAATTAAAAATGACTACCAATTAAGCAGACAAGAATATTTTCTTTTGAGTAAATCATTTTAATCTGATTTAATATCCATACTTCTGCACGATAAGAGACTTGGAGTTTCACCTCAGCAAAACATAATTCACTTCCTGAGGCCTTGGAGAGTTGATTATAATTGACTCCCTCAGAGGTTTTAACAGATTGGAGTAGCTTTGATTGAGTGTGGTATTGTG